AAACTAAGCACCATAAGCATAGAAATCCTTCCCCATGCTCACGGAAATCAACCCAAACCAGGAACCGAAGCAGCCACCGCGGGAAACAAGGTGGCCGCACGGAACCAAGGGGCCACGGCCTCGGGAAAGAGCCCAGGCACAGGAAAACCAGCGGCAGGCCGGAATCCAAGGGGGCAAATGCAATGAAACCATGGAGGAAACCAAGGAGTCATGCATGGGAATACTAAACACCTTTCTTGGGATTCCAAAAGCCCTTTTTGAAAACCCAAGAGACAACTTTAAGACATTAAAACTTAAAACATTAAAACATAAAAATACATTTAATAAAAAGATAACTATGAACTAAAATCATAGCTAATAATGAGCTAACCCTTAGTTCAATAAGTGAACTAAATATCAGCTCATAAATGAGCTAAAATTTCAGCTCAATTTTGATTGAGCTAGTAGACTCAAGGGAAGCCAAAAATCTAATTATTTTTGACATGAGTTGACCCCCCTTTGCCTACATCAGCATGGAAAGGCACACCCACCCATCAAGATATTACTACAACGCTAGGTGAAAAAGTATGTGTTTTCAATACAATCAAGCACAAATTTTGTGTATCTTAAAATATAATTCACATATTTCTGACAACTTTAATATGTTGAGATTTTATCAACAACTTGAGCAATCAACACACAATAGTTATCAGTATTTTGCATTGGAATGACAACCATTACAATTCAAATGGTTAATTTCTAAAATCAGGAGAAGAAAAATCATCAGTGCTAATCAAATCTGATTGGTGTTCAAATGACATTTCAGGTTAAAATTTACAAGAAACGGAAAAGTAAAATGCTTAGGTTCCTAATAAATAGGAAAGTTTGGTTTCTAGAGATAACTAGTAATATTCAAATCATTTGAACCATATGGTGGTCTACCTTCATTTTTAGAAGAGCCTATCCAACTAGGTGCTGTTGAGTATAACACTGATCCTTCACGGTCAAGTTGAAGCACCCACCTGCAGAAAAGAACCGGCCAAATAATCAAATTCAAACTGATTGGCATATTTACTACAGAGCAAGCATGAGTAAAAGTACCACGTCACTACAGCATGAACTTTCCCATCATCAGTTGGATTTATCCATATCTCAGTTTCTCCATGACTATCGGGCCGTTTCCAAAAGTCAAATTCAAAAATTTTGAAAGGTTCTGACAGCTGAATAGTTCTAAATTAGAAAATAATCATCTTCTCTTTTTTTTTCTGTAATGTTGGAGATCAAGCATACTCATACCAGACGCATCTCATTGCATAATGAATTAAAATGTATAGCATACTGCTGCGATTTTACATGAACTAAACCAGCAGGAGAAAGACAGATTCCATCTGATGCGCTAACATCATTGCCATGCAAGTCATTTAGCTTCCACAAGAATGTACTTTCAACTAGCTGAGACATCACAAACATAGAAGCTACCTGAGTAGAAGTTCTTTGAAAAACCAGTGACAATTAAATTAATGCAACTTCTAACTTAGGATATGCAAAATGTTATAAAATGAGGTTTCCAGGGGGAAATGCAACAACATTGCTGACTTTACCAAAAAACCTCAGAAGAAGTCACCTCGGGATGCTCCTAATCTTACTTTTCTTCAGTAGTTCCACCAAGATGTACTCTCACATACTTATAGGAAATGCAACAACATTGCTGACTTTTGTACCCATTTTGCTATGGATCGTAATTTTTTGTGAAAAAAAGATACATTCAACTCTTCACCTTCTACATTTTTTTCTCTTCTAAAGGAGAAAGGGATCGAATTTTGCACACTTAGTTGTCCTTTTTGTAATTTTTTATTATAGCAATGCAAATACCCTTTCAGAAATAACTCCCCACTAATTATTATTAAGTATCATGCCACATTTATTTTGAAATTCTATGGATATGTGGTATCGGCGCTTATTTTTCCTTTATTCAAGTATTCCAAAATAATATTAATCCAACTCGTCAGATGATTGCTACCCACCTTCATGACTTTGTTAGGAAAAAAGTTCCGAAATTGATGGCTGAAATTAAAACTTCTGCAATATAGAACCGGAGATAGAGAAGAATCTTGTGGCCAAAATATCTAAATAGCCTTTAGATTGATGAAATATGTAAGAAGACAAACAAGATATAATGGATCTACTGTTAGAGATGAAGATCCGTCTCTCTCAAATCTCTAAACGCTACTAGAGCCCAAACAAGAACCAAGAACTAGAAAATTTCAACAAAAACCAAGATGAAAACCTAACCCTAGCCACCAAAACTTAACTTTTTTTTTTTTTTAAGAAGCACAAGGGTTATTATTATTAACCAAAGCAAACAATTACAAAGTACTAGAAACTATAGATTCCTCCTTTAAAAATTTGGAGAACAAGGAAGGAATCTTACTAGAGGTTAAATCCTCCCAACAAAAATTATCGCAAATGGCATAACTACCACAAAGATTAGCTAACTTATTACATTCTCTATTTACCCAATTAAAAAAAATAAACTTATGATCTTTTAACAGTAACAGATCAACTTTCCACTTACCTTCCAAGCCTTGCAAAAATTTGATAACATTGTAGTTATCTCCTTCTATAATAATTCCTTGATATTCTTGCAACCAATCCTTCTTGATTTTCCTTATGAATTGGACCGAAAAAAGCTCAAGAGAAGCAATGTCCCAATGCATACAAGAATGATCATAAGCCAAAACCAATCTACCTTTACTATCACGGACATCACCACCAATTCCAGCTTGGTCATTTTTTAATAATGAAGCATCAATATAAATTTTTACCCAATTGGGAGGAGGAGGGTACCAAGTATTTGACAGTCTAGACGATCGATTCATACCCCAGTGTCCCATTTTTCCATCAGCCATAAAAGCAATGGAGGCCATACTTACAGCATTAGAAGCTAAGAGCACCAAACTATCTTTTGCTTCCCCATGAATGAATTTGTTTCTAGAATTCCAAGTTAAATATACTGCATTGCAATAAACATTCACCATGAATCCTTGTTTGCTTTGGTATTCTTCCATCCACCTCCAAAAAGGTTGAAATGAATAAAAGTATGTGAATTGAAATCCACATTTATTTAAGCTTTGAATAACATCCTTGAGTTTTTTACAGGATACCGTTATGTGATCAACATCTTCGATATGTTCACAACCCCCTTGGACAGCAGAAATTCTCTTGAATTCTTCTCTGATACAAGAATTCATAAGTAGGTAAAGCATTGTTGAACAGCCTCCACCAAAAGACTTCAACCCTTAAGCACAATTTTGCTTTTTTAAAACAATTCCAAAACATACAATTATGTTCCTGCATCTCTGAATTTCTATAAATCAGTGTGGATATTGAATAACCCAAATGCTGATGGATTAGCTCAAGTTTGTCATTATCACGATCCATGTGAATTTCAATCTTCATAATTATTTTACAAAGCTCCTTCCCAAAACAATGTTTAAGTTTCATATCATTCCATTTACCATTTGCAATTAAGCAATCCACCGTATCCTCCTCTACATTTTGAACTGAAACAAATGTAGGCCATGAGCTAAGTTTTCTATCCATAATCCAAATGTCATCCATGATATTGATAGAACAACCATTTGTAACTTCCCACTTTACAACAGATTTTAAAGCCTTTTTACCACTGGTGTGGGCTCCGAAAATTCGGCCTCGGCCTCTGCTCGCTTTTCTTATTCGGCGAGGGAGTTTTAACGAACTAAGTTCCGAGGTAAATTTTGGAAGGCAGATGGGTTTGTAGATAAGACACTACCCAGAGATTTCGCCCTCATTTTGTGAGAACTTTATGATCTGAGTTCTGGTTTCCTATAGTTTTACCACTGGATAAAATTTTTCCAGTAGAAGAAGTTACAGCTGCATTCTCAGAGTCATCCTGCCATTTTCCATATTTCTGGTTTAACATTTGAAACAGCAAAGACTCATTATCCTGAATAAATCTCCAAGCTAACTTAGCTCTTAAAGCATTCACACTATCCACACAAGATCGAATACCTCTTCCTCCTTGATCCATTGGTTTGCACAATTTGTTCTAGCTGACATAATGCAAACCCAACTCCCCGTCTTGTTTGTTCCAAATAAATTGACGGCAAAGTCTTTCAACTTCTTTTAGAATACTTTTAGGAACTAATGAATAAGTGCAATAGAAATTTGAGATAGAGAGCAACGTTGTTTTGATCAACAACATTTTACCTGCCAAAGAAAGAAGTTTGCTACCCCACACTGCCGTAAGCTTCATAGCTTTCTCCACAATGAAATAAAAATCTGATGCTTTTAATCTTCTTAATGCCAATTCCACTTTGAAGCCCATGACTCTTTCAACAGCTTTCTTCCTCCTTTTAACATGTTTACCAAATAACATTACAGATTTTTCAGCATTAACTTTCTGCCTTGTCCAGCAACAAAAATTTGAAATTGATTCTTTGATTTCTCTAACTTCTTTAAGACTAGCATGAGAGAAGATAATGATGTCATCTGCATATAAAAGGTGTGATATCTTTGGCAAATTCCTTCCAATCTGGATACCTGTAGCTGTCTTATTAAGATTGAACCGGTTAGTGAATAGCTAAGCACATAAAATGAATAGATAGGGTGATAGTGGACACCCTTGTCTAAATCCACTCTCCGCATGAATCCAGCTAGACATACTACCATTAATAAGCAAAGAGAATTTAGGAAATTCAACACATTCCATGATCCATCTAGAGAAGATCTCCGGAAAACCAAAGTATTTTAAAACACCTTTAAGAGTATTCCAACTCATGCTATCATAAGCTTGTTCCAATTCAACTTTAAAAGAAACCAAACCTTTTTAAGTTTTTGAAGTTTTGAATTTCTGAAAAATCTCCTGAGCCAATAGAATATGATCCGCCATAGCTCTTCCGTTGATAAAAGCAGCTTGCTCCACCGTCACCACTTTTTGAATCATGATCTTCATTCTATTCAATAAAATTCTAGGTACCACCTTATAAATAGACCTACATAAACTGATAGGTCTATATTGGCTTGGTAAGGAAGGAACCACTACTTTTGGAATGAGAACCAAAAGAGTCTCTTTCCATTCAATATTCATTTCTCCCTCTTTAAAGAACTGATTAATTGCATTCCAACAATCATACTTGATTGTTTTCCAATAATGCTTCATGAAGGAATAGGTGATTCCATCATTTACAGGTGCAATGCTGTCATTTGTATGAAATACCACATTTTCCAGTTCTTCCATAGCAAGATTTCTGAATAAATTTCTTCTATCTTCCTCTTCAATCATACTATTGGGACAAGGCCATCCACCAAAACTTACTTAAGCATACAATAATTAGGTAAATCCCAAAACAATCCCTTCTATTTGAATTTTCCGTAAATCCCCCCTTAATTCCCCCTAATTAAGCTTGTGGACCCCACTATCAAGGGGCGGGAGAGATGGGGGCGGAATTTCCCCTATTCCGCCACCTGTAAATCTGGACCGGTCATGGTTAGACCGGCTGGACAAGTCCAGGAACCGGTCTATTAATATTCCCCTCCCAAAGAGCCACCTTATCCTTAAGGTGGTAGGAGGGGAAACTAATGCTTCACCCAACCATATGGCTCTCATGTGGCATCATAGGGAGGTAAGTTATTCCACTAAATTTGCATTTCCTTGGCCTCTCCCTCTCCTTGACGTACACCTTTAAGCTCCAGTGAATCCAAAACAAACTCCATATTCTGTGTCAACGTTCCTGATAATTCTGAACTAGCTGCATGATCCCCCATAGTTCTCCTCAACTGAGATACATGGAACACTGGTACGTAAGCAATCGGGGGTACCTTAAACGATAAGTCACTACTCCAATTCTCTCCAATACCTCATAAGGGCTAAAGTATCTCGAGGATAACTTCTCATTCCTTTTGTTGGCTATTATCCTCTATCTGTAGGGTCTCAACTTTAATAATAGTTTATTCCCTAATATAAATTGGATGTCTATCATATGTTCATCCACCTGTTTCTTCATAATTTGATGAGCCCTCGGCAAGTGTCTTTTTTAACTCCTCCAACACCCTATCACTTTCCTCCAAGTACTGCTCTACTAAATATACTAGTGTGCTACTTTTCCCAAAATGTACAAAGTAGGGAGGGTTCTTATACAGCACCTTGAAAGGAGTCATTTAGAAGGTTGACTGACACAAAGTGTTGTACCAGTATTCAGCCCAAGCCAGCCACTTAGCTCATACCCTAGGTGTTTCTGAAGAAAAACACTACAAGTATGTCTTCAAGCTCCTATTCACCACTTCTATATGCTCGTCTGTCTGGGGGTGGTAAGCGGAGCTCCTCTTCAACACTGTCCCATGTAGCCTGAGCAATTCCCTCCAAAAATGACTGAGGAATACATTATCTCTGTCGGATACTATAGATTATGATA